AAAAAAATATAAATTTAATATAAAAATTTATATAAAATTAATTATAAATATCATAATTAAACGAATTATTTAACGAACAGCCTTCTTGAGTTCGAATCTTATGGATAAATAAACTTGCATTGAGATTGAGATCCATCTTTTATAGATAAGTAGCCATTCAAAAATTATCTTGTACATAATGTAAATTAGATCTAATATAATTGTTGAATACTAAAAGGTTAATAAAAAAATGAGATCTAATGTGGATTAATTTTAAATTAATTGAGATCTAATATAATTACTGAATATCGAAAGGTTAATAAAAAAAATATCATAATTAATAAAATTTATTGCATACCATTTTTACTTATTAAATAACAGGTGAGCCAAACTGTATCTTACAAAAACGAAAATAGAACATTGTAAAAATGGTACCAAGTTTACGCGTCGGGACTTTGAAACCATTCCAACGTAAATCGCCCGCACCAGCCAAAAGATCAGACCCATCCAATTTCATCAGCCCACCGACATCAAGTAATCAGTCGGCCAACTTTCTTCTCCCGCACTCTCACACATCAACCTCATAAAGATAAAAGTCCGACGCCAAAAAAATGAAAGGGAGAATCACATAAGTCCAAAAAAGTTTTCGTGGCTTCTCAAGAACCCTAATTTAACTCCTTCTCATTTCTCCAGTTCTTAGTCAGAAACCTAAGTCCTATGATCATAGGTCTTTTCTGTTCTTTGTCAAATTCTTGTCCTCCTTTCAATTGGAAGGGAAAATTGTTTTAATTCGTAGCAAAGCATTTTTGAAGAGGTAACGAGGTTAGTAATTTTGTATCATTTCGTTCCTAAATGAGGGGATTAGATTGAATTTTCTTGTTGAATCTTGCCTAACTTCTTCTGGGGTTTGATTATTGAAGCGAAATTCTTAGGTAGGGTTTTTAGGTTTCAAATTCGATTTTTTTTATTAGTTGACTTTTCAGTCTTGGTAAACTGTTATTGTTCAGTGTTTCCATTAGTGTTTTTAGGGTTTTTAGGGTTTTTGGTATAATGGGGTTTAAATACTGAGTTTTGGAGTTTATCTGTTTGTCCTTTATTTGGATATTGAATTTAGAGTAAGTTCATGGTAAAGCAAAATTTGTATTCAAGAATTTTATGTGGTTTCAGATACATGTTGTGAATGGCAACAGCAGAAGCAGCTTCAGCTACTCTTGGTCCAAGGTATGCTCCTGATGATCCCAGTCTTCCAAAACCTTGGAAGGGACTGATTGATGGGAGTACGGGGCTTTTGTATTATTGGAATCCTGAAACAAATGTGACCCAGTATGAAAGACCTGCCAGTTTGTCTGCACCATCGCCAGCTGTTTCTACACCTAAGTTATCTCCTCTACCTGTAGGCCATTTGGTTCAATCAAATGGAGGGGTGGCTGAGCTTGGACAACAGCAAGCTTCCCAACAGCATGGGCAACAATTGAGCCAGTTACCTGCGCAACATGGACAAGTAATGGGACAGCAGCAGAGTTCAACACTAGTGCCAGTATCTGACCAGCAGGGCTTCCACCAACAGGGTTCACAAATGGGACATGCCATGCAGCAGCCAGGACAGTATGCACCACAGCAAATAAAACCACAAATGATGCATCATCATGTGCAGCAAACGATGTCAGTTATGGGGCAATCCATGCCACAACAGCCAGGTCAGCATGTCCTACAGCGGCAGGGCCAACACATGCCACAGCAACCAGGTCTGATGATGCAACCACAGGTCTCCTATCAAATGCCTCAGAAGCTAGGGATGCAAGCAGTGCAACATCAGAATCCTCAAATGGCACAACCACTAGGACATCAATATGCACATGAACAGGTGCACTTTATGCCATATCCACAAAGCATACCCCCACAATCACAACAAACTCCACAGCAAACTCAGCTGGGTGGCCAAAGTCAGCAGCACCCAAATCAGCAAGAGTTGAAGGCAGCATTACCAAAAAGGGAGGAAGTTGATTTTCAGCAACAGCAAGGAAACAAAACTGGGTTTTCTCCTTCTCAGTTTCAGCAGCCTCAGTTTCAACAGCCTGCTTCATCTTCTCAGGACCTTGCTAGCGGAAAAAACTCAGCTCAGATGCCACAGACAGGTGCACATCCAGGTCATTCTCAGCAATTTGCTGGCTCATCTATCAATATACAGCAACCCACTGCTGTGGTGCATACACAGCAAACTGGTGCGGGATTTCTTCAGCAGCATGGTCCTAGGTTTCACAATCAGATGGACTCAGCAATTATGCCCAAACAGCAGTCTGATATGCCTCCCTCAGGGTTCAACACAGGTTATGAAGAAGGTTTACATGGCAGAGCCAGAAATGATAACTATAATAATAATTCTACACAAGGAACTGTGATGGGCCCACAGCAGCCTACGCTTGCATCTATTCCCATGATGAGAAATCAACAGGTATTTCTTTGTTCAAAGTAATTCATATTGGCTCCATTCCCCATTTATTTTTATTGTGCAGAATCACATTTGCTGTTATGTTGGTAGCTGTTGTTCTTCCCATTTGATCAAACCAACCATGTGTTGGTACTTACCGTCCAATCTATTTGGGATTAATATTGATTTTAGTATTAATATAGAGAGGCAGCACCAAGAGCTAGAAAGAGTTTGGAGTTTTTCTGATCAATCAAAGAAAATTATATTGATGGGAGTTACAGTGTAGGTGGTACTCCAACCCTTAAATCTACTTAACAAGAACATTGAATCATGAGCTTGTCAAAAAAATGAAAAACTCATTCAATTGGGCACAAAACATTCAGAAAAACATTGATCTCAATCTTGCTGAACTCTTACCTTTGGCATGCTACTCCTGGAAGAGTTATGGGGTTAACTGTGGTTATTTATCCTGTAGTGGATGCTTTTTTTTTGGGTATGCTAAAACAAGTGGCTGGCTTAGGTTATTTCTCATATCTCTTTGCCATATTTTCTTGAAAAAGAAGGGAAATTATTTTGTGCACTTCTATTTTTCTAGTTTATATGCTATGATATACAAAGCCCTCCTGTTGTTAGAATAGCAAATGTCATAAATCATAATGTTCAATTAAGCATTATCTTCCTCTTGTTTTCATCCATCTTTTTTAAATAGTGGATTGTTCTGTGTATTTATTTGATGATAACATATTCATGCTGTGCTGATTATAGGTCCTAAAATCATATTTCTTTTTTCAAAATTTCAAATCATCTAATGAGTGACACCTTTTCAGGAGATGAGGATGGGTGTGGTTCCTCCTCAAACTAACATGCCTACTCATATTGGTGGGTTGAATGCTGCAGCAGGGCATGGCCTACATAACATGTATGGTCACGGACCTCATGCTGGCCCACCATATCCAAATAATGCTCCAATCCGGCCTTCTTTTGGTGGACCTTTGGATGCTAAAGATCTCTCACCTGCCGAGGCGTATCGTAAACAGCATGAAGTCACAGCAAAGGTCTGTACAAGTGTTTCAAAGAAACCAAATGCACTAACAGTCCTGTTCATGTTGGTTGAATTGTTGGTTATTGATGGTTGGATTAGGAATGCCGGAGTCGTTTCATGTGATTTCTTTTAACTTCCTTCCTAGTGACGAGTAACAAATATTTTAAGTCACATAATTGTTTTATAGATAATTATATGAAAATGAATAATGCCAAATTTGACGAAAATGAATAATGTCAAATTTGTAGGTCTTTGAACAAATTTTATTTGTAAGAGACTAAGAGGGCTATCACCTGAAAAATCCATGGAGTGGTTATGCAGTGCGTTTGTTTGCATCATTCACCACCTTTGAGAAAGAAATGGTGCTTATTTTTAATGCTCAATACTGCAATTGCATTAATCAATATAGATTGGTTGTGACTTTGAATTTCTTCTTAAATTGAGTAGGGAGACAACGTTCCAGCACCATTCATGACATTTGAAGCTACTGGTTTTCCCCCTGAGATACTGAGAGATGTAAGTTTCAAGCATACTGCGATTTAATGATGCATGCCCTTTGGTTAGAAGCAAAATAGGTGACATTCTTCGTAACTTTGGTGGGGGGGAGGGGGGATTTCCCTTTTCTATTTTAAATATATTTATTCTCGCTTGTCACAGGTGCGATATCTGCTCCAGAGGAGGAGCATATGTCGTACACTGCAATGCTATTGATACACTTACAAATGCAGCAACTATGATGTTTGGAGGCTGCAAAATGGACAGTTGGAGCCGTTCTTGGTTAACTTCTAGAGGGGTGGTTGCCCTTCTCCCAAATCACACTTAATGTGACTGAATTCTTGCTTATTGGCTCCGTATATTATGTCTTTATTGCCCTCTTTTGCTGCCTCAAGTTGCTTCTGTAAGCAACCATATACCAGCAGATTTTTAGTTACAATTTTTCATGGATGATCACTGAGCTTGATTTTCTTGCTTTATTTATTTAATTATTTGTGTGGATGTTATTAGATCTGTGTAATTTTTATTGTATTTATTGCCAATGCTCTATGTTTCAGATTCATTATGCTGGGTTTTCATGTCCCACCCCCATACAAGCACAAACATGGCCAATTGCACTGCAGGGCAGGGATATTGTCGCAATTGCGAAAACTGGATCTGGTAAAACGTTGGGATATTTGATTCCTGCTTTCATTCTTCTTAGGCAACAGCGGAATAATCCTCAAAATGGGCCAACAGTACTGGTTTTGGCTCCAACCCGAGAGCTTGCCACACAAATACAAGAAGAGGCCTTGAAATTTGGCCGATCTTCAAGAGTCTCTTGCACAGTAAGTCTTAGTTTACATCCAGTATCATCTGCTTATAGGCATCCCTGATAATTTTCTCATTTGCTTCAAATTCTCATTTTCTGACTTAGCTCTAACCAAATTACCTTTTTAGTGCTTATATGGTGGAGCTCCAAAGACAGCTCAATTAAAAGAGTTAGATCGTGGAGCAGATATTGTAGTGGCAACTCCTGGTCGGCTTAATGATATCCTTGAAATGGGGAAGATTGACTTTAGACAGGTCTCACTCCTTGTGCTTGATGAAGCAGACCGCATGCTCGATATGGGTTTTGAGCCCCAGATTCGCAAGATTGTGAATGTGATACCTCTTCGTAGACAAACTCTGATGTACACAGCGACCTGGCCTAAGGAAGTTAGAAAAATAGCCAGTGATCTTCTCGTGAATCCTGTACAGGTTAACATTGGCAGTGTTGATGAGCTTGTTGCAAACAATGCAATCACACAGGTAACATCTGATACTTTACTTCCTGCCCTTGAAAATTTAAATTAATTTTGTTGTGAGATTCCATATACATATTAACTTCAATTTATTAAAATAACCATGGTTCTTAACTATAACAAATGCTAATATTTTATCAATTTGGCAGTATGTGGAAGTAGTTCCACAAATTGAGAAAGAAAGGCGCTTGGAGCAGATCCTTCGAGCCCAAGAATGGGGATCAAAAGTCATTATTTTCTGCTCTACAAAGAGATTATGTGATCAGCTTACACGTAATCTTAGACGTAACTTTGGAGCTGCTGCCATACATGGAGACAAGTCTCAGGGTGAAAGAGACTGGGTTTTGAATCAGTTCCGCTGTGGGAAGTCTCCTATATTAGTTGCCACTGATGTTGCTGCCCGTGGCCTTGACATCAAAGACATAAGGTCAGTTCTTGTCTCTCTTGTTATCTTTTTCTTTTGTTTGTGTGTGTTTTGGACTGAGTCTAAAAAAAAAATCTTTTTCTTTAATGTAACAGGGTGGTGATCAACTATGATTTCCCTACTGGGATTGAGGACTATGTCCACCGAATTGGAAGAACTGGGAGAGCTGGTGCAACTGGTGTGGCTTACACGTTTCTCTCTGATCAGGATTGCAAGCATGTCCCTGATTTAATCAAAGTTCTGGAGGGAACCAACCAGCATGTGCCTCCAGCTTTGCGAGAGATGGCTTTGCGTAGTGGGCCTAGCTTTGGTAGGGATCGGGGTGGAATAGGTCGTTTTGATTCTCATAATGGTGGTGGGCGATGGGATTCTGGAGGTCGTGGTGGAATGAGGGACGGTGGTTTTATTGGCAGTGGTGAAATAAGGGACAGTGGTTTTGGTGGCCGTGGTGGAATGAGAGATGCCACCTTTGGCAGCCGAGGTGGTTTCAGAGACGTTGCCTTCGGTGGCCGTGGTGGCATGAGAGATGGTGGTTTTGGCATTCCTGGAGGTAGAGGCAACTTTTCTGGTCGTGGAAATAGGGGTCGTGGATTTGGTGGTCGTGGTGGTTGGGGCAGGAATGATAGAGGTCCGCAAGATTGGCACGGTAATTTTGGACGGGGGCGATTAGATAACAGAAGAGAAGTTACTGGTAAGGGAAGGGCTAGAAGTTACAGCCGCAGTCCTGAAAGGGGTCGTTTAAGGCATTATAGCAGAAGTCGAAGTCGAAGTCATAGTCGCAGTCGAAGCCGGAGCAGGAGCTGGAGCCGGAGCCGGAGCCGTAGCAGGAGCTGGTCTCGTGGTCGCAGTCGCAGTCGCAGTCGCAGTTACAGTCACAGCCCTCACCGCAGCTACAGTCGCAGCCCTCGCCGCAGCTACAGCCGTAGCCGAAGCCATAGTCGTAGTCGCAGCCATGACGGATATGAGAGGCCACCTGAACAGAACTTTGACCAAAAGGACGTCGTAAATCCAGAAATTGGTATTCCTCCTGAATCAGGGACGTCTCCCATGCCCCTTGGCACACAAGGCAATGCATTTTCTGGAATTGACCATGTGCACCCATTACAGGTGGTTGGAAGCACTGAGCCAGTGCATACAGAGGTGGTTGCAGACCCGGTGAACAAGACTTTGCCTGAATCCTAGATCAAATATATTGCTGCCTGATATCCAATTTTGTTATATCCAATCATTATGGTTCAATATTTCAGGATACTGTTCAAGCTGCCTGGTAATACAGACCGAGGAAATTATGAGCGATAGAAGGTAAATGCTGGATTCCTGCCCTCTTGGGGAGTGTATTTTTTAGAATCAACAATGTTAGGTCTTGGGACGCCAAGAATTAAGGGCTTTGAAATTCAAGCCCCACCTTGCTTTAACCAGGTTGGTGAGTGGTAATGTCTTTATGTAGGATGTTTTTGGGCATTATTACTACCTCCCTTGATTCAATTTCATGATGTACTGTGCTAGAGATTGAAACTACAGAAAACCTCAATTTGTTTTACTAAACCTTGAACATATAGCTAAATGAAAAACTATGAATTCTGTGTAACCAACTTTTGTTGATATATATGGTACCGTGCCTGCTAAGCACGGATGTCAACAAAAATAATGTTCTGAATTTCTTACTCTTCTTCCGTTGACTGGGTCACTTCTTCCCTTTAAAAAGCTCGGAAGAATATTATTTTTTTCTTAAATAAAGTAGATGGATATGAAGATATATTTTTAAAATTATTCAAAGAAAATATATTTTGAAAGTATGAAAATTAATAAGGAACATTTTAACGGGAAATGTCAAAAAAATTACAAAAAGAATTAACCAATTGAGAATTGTATTAAAAAAAAATAAAAAATAAAAAAATTATTCTTACCCTTTACTTATTATTTCCCCCAATTTGATTTGTTACTGTAATTTAA